ACGGGTCTCCCAAATGACAGACCAATTCCCTACATTCAAAGCTTGTCTGCTTTGTTCAGGTGGCGATAAAGGGAATTTCAGAGGTAACTATTTTAGCAGCTTGTTTATTTTTCTCTGCAAGTTCCTGATGGGGAGGGGGAATTGTTTACTTAATAGTTTTTTTGGGGAAACTGAGAATTCAGAAACTTTGCTCCTTAAATTTGTGACCACAAGGAGTTCAGATTCCTTCCCAATTATTCAGATTTGAACTTTTAACAGTAATTACATATTTCTGCTATAATCAGCCACGGTCTTTATACAGCAGAGAGCATAAACAAAATTTGAATTGCTAATTGTAAAAAACAAAAAAGCAAATTTTTTTTCCTCAAGGTATAAAAGCTCTCACTCGTCATCTCCCCCTCTCCCTCATTACTCAGTCTCTCATATATAAAAAAGGGCCAAAAAAGAGCACACATTCTCTTATTTCTTGACTTCACATCAAGTCAACTTAGACCAGCTTAGAGAGATGAGAAATGAGATACTGGGCCTTGCACAAATTTTTCACCCCAATTCACAAAACCAAGACCCTGAAGTGCTAGAAGGAACCAGAAAACGTAATGCAAGGGCTTTTCATTCTAACCAACTAAAATCCAGCCATTCCAGAGGAAGGGAAGGGCGCAGGGGAGAAGGGAGGGTGGGAGAATGAATGAGTTGGATTATGGAGACAAAGCACCGTTCCCCAGCATAGCGGAACTGGATATTTTCAGAGGAACAGAATTCTATTTATTATATAGTGGTAAAAAAGAACAGGTTTCTTGACATAACCTCAGACAAAAACCAGTATGTGTCCACAAGCATATAATCTAATGAAAGCCAAACCAAGAACAGGTCAAAACACAGGTGTGGAAGTAAGAGCGGGCCCTGCGAGTTGTAGTAAGAGAAGATTCCTGCCCGTGAAGAATCCTAGAGAGATGAGGGATGCTTGTTTGATGAAGAGAGAAGCAGGATTTTAGGCATATAGGACCACAGGACAGAATGCCAAAGGGACAGCATGGAAAATGAGATGCAAAGAGCAATACTGAGAGAACTGGGAGGAGGAGTGCGGTGTAGGAGGAAATGAGACTAAAGAAGTAGGCGGGGTGGAAACATGCTGGGCCTTAAAGGTGCAGGAGAGGAACCTGACTGTGACATGATACTAGGAAGCCCAGGACGGGATTCAGGAAAGGGTTCACAAAGGCCAGGAACTAGCAAAATCTGTGCATTGTCTACCTTTTAAGACACCAACTCCAAGGCTCATAATAGGATGGAGTAGAGGACGGGGCAGGTCAAAGACAGAAGGATAAAAAGACAGTCTAGTCCGAATCTTGGCAAAGCACCACAGAACACATTAAATCAGTCCTAAACTCTGCTGCGAGGTCTCCGAATTTTGAAACACTATTTTTTGAATTTTGAATTTTGAAACCAGTATTTTGCATTTTCATTTCAAACTTTAAATGAAAATTTGCAATTAATTAATTATGAAAACATACTGCAGCATGCTTGCTCTCTCTCAGTAATAACACATACACAGACTGCCTTTAAAAGTGAAAACATGAGGACAGGGCAGAAATACGTTATAGATTTTTTAAGTTCATCATATATCCCTTAGAAGGAAGAAGGAAACAATAATAGCAGAATAGTTAGCAAGTAGCAATAATGACTCCTACCAAGATGATAAGCGGGGGTTGAACACATCAACTGGATATTTTTGCTAAAATAACACGATGTGCAACAGCCAGCAATACAGAGATTTAAATGCTTTTCTTTATGCTTCAGAGTTAACACAACTGGAGAGTTCAAACATTTTGAAGATACCATTTTAGGCTGTCCATTAATCTAGGCACTATTCATCTTTTCAAAGTTGTCTTCCAGACCGAAAATGCTAGAAACAATACTTTTTAAAGTTTCAATTCTGAAGCATCACTCGGCAACAGATTCTGCAAATGGAGTACTACAAAACACAGAGGGTTCTGTGTGAAAGCCCCTGGTTACAATTCTACCCAAGATTGGGAGAAGCAAATGGAAAAATGAGTCCAAGAGCATTTCATCTTTTGGTTGCTAATGACCGAGATATAATTCCTGTCTGACAGCTGTGTAAAATGAGATAATCAGCTCAGACCTGCTCTTGAAGGACAGCTGTCCATATCACAGTTGCCATTAACCATACCTCCTGTCTGACACTTGAAGTAAAGGGCCAAATATCCAAACTGTGATGCAGACTGAATCTCCCACTATATGAAGGTCAGCTGAAGTTTAGGGGAGGAGGCAGTAAGCAAAGATACCTGTACCTGTGTGGTAAGAAAAAACTTCTCCACAGACACCAGCATTCAGCTGTATTTTTGTAGAAAGAAAAAAAAAATACTACAGCAGTCACAACCACGTCTTGGACTGGGAAATTATATCCAAACTCCTCAAACTGTTTATTGTATTTCATTCCAACTTTTCTGACTCCTTATCCTATCCTAGAAACTTGACTGCAGAACCAGATTTCAAGATAAAACCCAAGAACTTACAGAACACATACTTAAACATTAATATAACCTCACGATCTGTCAGTAACGTAATCCTTTTCCCATAACTCTCTAGACCTTCTCATTTCATTTTACTTAAGGGCTTGACCTGAGAAATGCCACACACTCAGCTCTCAGATGGGAGTGGAGTGCCCATAGGACAGGATCAGACTGCTTCAACTTAAAAAGTCAACTTTTGGAAGCATGAATGTCCAAATTTAAATTTACAAACCCATACATGCGTAACTGTCTCTTTACTCCAATGCTGAAGACTTCATTGCTTCTGTTGAAATCAACAGGACGTTCCTGGGCATTTACAACAATTAGGCTATTTACTTAGGTATCTAAACGTGGTTTTTAAAGTCTAATTTTAGGTGTTCAGGTTTAACATTCTTACTGTAAACTCTTAAAGACATAGCACTTTCATTTAAATGTGCCTATAAAGTACCTTGTACTTTTATGAAGATAAATAATACTCTCCCTTCTTTTACGGATACTTTCGTATAAAATAAATGGTGCAAAACAGCTGCAGTATTCCACCTCAGAGGAAGCTGCATTTTCACCTGTGATAAAATTTGATGTAAATACCATGATCACACTAAAGAGCTATGCTCTCTAAAAATTATTCCCTTCCTTAAATTTATCAGTATGTCCTAGCTTTTGCAGAGCTGCGTTTTAGACTACGAGATCTCCAGAGCAGAGCTCATCTTAATTTTGTGCATCCAAGTCAGCATCGAATGCCCTGTCAGCAATTAACAAATAAAAAACAATTACTCTACAGCACACGACTTTCAGCCCTGTATGTCTGTCATGAATATTTAAAGCTCAGGAAGCAAATACAAAATCCTAATCTTTATCATCAGTAATGACGAAAAAAACCATTTCATATACAGAAAGATAATTGTCGTGGGAGAGGAGAATTTTGTAAGGCTGGCATATATATTCTGTAAAGTGCCCTGGCATCCATCAGAGCCAAAAGCACCTGAAAAATGTCAAGTCATTACTGAGGAAGGGGGCAGCATGAAGTAAATTAACCTCAAGAGCATGAAAAGTCAGTTACCCCCTTGAATGTACAAAGGCCAAAATGCCTCAGTTATCTCCTCCCTTGTGCTAGATAACACAGCTATACTCAAAAAACCAGCCTGATTGCATAACTATAGGGCAACAGGTAGGAGGGCATCTAACAGTACCCCCCAGAACATACCTACGCTTAGTGGTTCAGCCCTGCCTTAGAAAGAGGCACCTTCTGAAGCTATGGATAACTGTCATAATTCTCTGCCAAAATGGGCAATCACTTTGGAGGGACCTGGCATCTTTTGTCTGAGCTTGCTAGCAAATTACACCAAGGAATTCCTTCTTCAGGGACTCCCTGTTAACCATTGTGCTCCCAAATGGATTCCAGAAGGGTTCCTGTCCTGGCCAAGGACCCTTTTGATCTTGTGTTTCCTCACTGCTATCTCACTGGAGAACAGAAACAGGAATATCTCAGGTGAGATATCCTTAGGCATGATTCTTCTGCTATGGGAAACTGCTTTGGCTTCATTTGAGATGAAGTCTCCCTCAGACTCGATTTTGCAGGAAATCACTATGTTAGTGTCAGAACACTCATTTGTGACTGGAAATTAACTGCCTCATTTACAAAAAGCAGCCAGCTTGGCTCACCACAGCACTAGCATTAGGATTCACATTCCTAGACCCTGAACACAGCATAAAACACAGATGAAGACTGGTGGCAACAGAATGGCTTCTTTTGGCTTTCAGAGCAGGTTCCACCAGCACTGCCACGATTTTCATTCCCAGGCCCCTGAGCACCACAGAACCCACTCTCAAGGGCACTCTTTCCAGAATTCATCCCACAGCCCCTAGGTACATTAGGACACACATCTCAGAGTACTAGCACTGGGATCTGTACATACAGCTCCCAAGCACAGCGAGGTCTGCATCGCACAATGATTTTATTACCACAGTTACGAGCATAGTAGGACCCACATGGAGAACAAATGACACTCCAACCCCACGGGTGCATCCTTGGACACTAGCACTACAAATCACTGCTCCTGTCTCCTCAAAGCTTTTTTTGGCCAGTATTATCCTTCTCAATGACCCCTAAATGACAGAAATTAATTTCACACAGGTGATGATAAAGGCTGAGACTAGGACAAATACACCAGTGAAAGAAAGTAGAAGGGAAAGGGCAGAGAGGTTTCTTACAGTTAAACAGGGCTAAGGTCTCCCATAAGCTTAAATAGTGAAGGAAGGAATCAGGTCAATTCCATATAGCACATAAGGGAGCTAAATGAGAGAGATGGAGAAAGACACACAGAAGAAGGCGGCTGGGGAGATGTTCAGAAACAGAGAGAAAAGACTGAAAGGAAAGCCGATACAGTGAGAGAAGAGACATGGAAAACAAGGACAGAAGGCGAAAGAGAAGGACAGCTAGGAATAGAGAGGTGATATAATGTGGTCACTCACTCTGTCCGGAAGATTTTCTGGAGGGAGGTGGATTATCTTCAGTGCTGATTTCTGGGGTGCTGCCCTTCACACTCCTTCTCTGAGACCCATCCTCAGAGCATTGCTGTCAGCTATTCCAAGAGCTTCTTCAAGAAGTATTTTCAGGGTGAAGGGATTGTGGATGAAATCAGGATCTTGAGTATTAAAACAATCTGCTTGGGATTGTCAGTCCCCTAAAACTGCTGGTTTTATCCCAGGATGGAGATCCTCTCTCCCTTTTGGCAGCTAACTACTAAAGGGGTGTTCCCCTGGGAGACAGCCTTTTCGCTGATTGTCAGATTATTTCAGAGATCAATTTCCCCAATCTCCCTACCTGTAAATCTCTCTTCTGTTTCCTCTAGGTGCACCTTGTCCTTAAGGGTGGGCAAATCTCCTTCTCTGAAAAAATTCTTGCTATCTCTGTGGATATTATCAGCGAAATCTGCCTTTTCCTTTCCCTGTAAATGGGAGGTGTGTCTTCTCTCCTTGCACAGGATATCTGAAGAAAACCCTCTTGGGATTAGGAGATGAGGGATCTTCCTTGGGATGAAGGAGGATGAGGTCAGTATTGGAAATTACCTTTATCTCCAGTGGTTAACAGCAACTGGAAAAGGGAAGAAGAATATCTAAATCTGCCTCTGTTTTCTCTCCCTTATTTTGCTTTCTCTGCTGCCTGCTGAGCAGATGTAAATAATTAAAATTACTAGACAAGTATCTGGAGCTCCTGCTTATTTCTGTCTTGGGGACTGTCTCTCTTGGGCATACGGGATTTCTTCTGTGAAGACTCCCCTGTTACTCTCCGGTCTGGAGAAGGGCCGTCTCCTCTGCTGGGGGAAAGAATTTGCTCAGTAGCAGGGAGGAGTAGGTGGCAAGGGTTACTCTCACAACCCTCAGAAACCGGGTTCTGAGGACACCTCTCCCCAAAACAGGTACTGAGGGAGCTCCAGGAGGCTCTATTCCCAGTGAGGAAGAGCAGACCTGCTTCTAGACAGTTACCAGGGCTTGGTGCCGGGAGCGGGCCTCTGCCCACCCTTGGCTCGTTAGTGGGGAAGGGGGCAAGTGTTAAGCTCCCCCGCCAGTTGCGGGGAAGAGGGCTGGCAAGCGGGGGCGGCGAGGGGCCGCGGCGTATTCCCCCCCCCCCCCCGCCGGGAGCGGGGCTGCCTAACGGGGAGTCCCCTCACGGCTGCGGACGGGGCGGGGGGGGCGGCGGGCAGGGTCTACTCCCCCACCCCGGCAGGCTACGGGGGTGTCCCCCCCACCCCTGCTGCCCGGAGGCTGTCCCCGGCTTCCCCCCAGGCCCCAGCTCCTCTTGCCCGGGCCCGGCTACCACGGGAGGCCGCGGCGGCTCACGGGCCTTGCGCGGGGCTGAGCGGCCGCCTCCGCCGCCTTCCGCCGGGCCTCGGCTTCCTCCCCGGGGGGCTCCC